GGTGAGGTTGAGTGAGAGTTTTCCTTTAGGGAGTCAAGGGGTGTGAATTGATTCACATAGTTACTTCGATCAGCCTACATTTTAGGTACTCCTGCCATGTGTTTAGAGCTCTTAGAGAATAGCTATATAAAGAAAATTCTTTAGGATAAAGACTTATTAGTGGAAGAGGCTAAGGACTGGCATATCTGCTGGACTGGGAGGCAAAAAGAGGGATTATCATCTCCACTAGGTTGGGAGGTGAAAAAAGGGATTGACATCTCCACTTGACTAGGAGGCAAAAGGAGAGACCAACATCTTCATTAAGCTTGGAGGCATAAGGAGGGATGACATCTCAAGTGTAACGAGGAGCTGAAGGAAGTAACAACATCTCCATCGTGGCCAAGAGCTAAAGATGTGAATTGACATCTCTACCAGAGTGAGGTGCTAAATGAGGGAATCACATCTCCGCAGGAGTGAGGAGTTAAAGGAGAGAAAACATATTCATTACGCTAGAGGATGGAGGGAGATTCTTTGTAGTCTATAAAGGTCATTCTCCACCTAGTAAGGAAAAGGGCTTCTCCACATAGATATGAGCTAAAGAAGAGCCACGTTAATGAAATACACAAATTGGATGACCTTTAAGGAGTGGATGTTGTTTGATTTTTATCAAACCACTATAAATCTAGTTTTCGTACACTTTACTTTATTGCTACTTATTTTATTGCACTATGGATACCACCGTTGATACAATTGGCTGAAGGAGGAAGATTTTCTAGATTTTGGTTTATATCAAGGTGCACTATAATTACGATATACAACTTCTATCAATTCATCCATATAATACATCACACAACCATTGTTTTAATACTCAATTTTTTTACTAGTCAACCCCAACTTGGATACTAACTTCTTTGTCATATAAAATTCTATGAGAATTAAATTATTCTCATGATTAGTTTCCTTAAGTAGACCTATAAACTCATTGAAACACTCTCGAGGAACATTGTATTCAGCTTTAATGTTGAGCATCCTAACTGCATCAGATAACCTAGAATGTGTATTACACCCATCCAAAATGAGTTATTAAGTAGTACGTAGTAATTCATAGAATTTCTAGGCATTGATGTAGGTGAGTCCTCTATATGTTCTCTTAATTTCAGTCCTTCTGCATAAAAAGTTAATTCTTTATATGTCTTTGCATTCTGATCATCCTTTACTATTCTTGAAATTATGGATAGACCACATTAAGAGTGTGAATATGACATATACTCTCCATGTGAGGTGAAAAATCAATACCTTGCATACGTCCTCTATGTTATAAATCAAGTTTAATCTTATCATGTGTAATGTATGCTGGATTTTTGTGCTTTGAGCAAGAACACCTAAAATTCCCATCTAATAAAAATGAAGGTAGTTGACATGTCTTGTGAATAAAATATTTAACTTCTTTAACAAATTCATTTGTGAGTAACTTTTTCCTAATAACAATCTATTATACCTCCAAGACCTATGACTTTGGATATCAATATATAACTTGACATAACAAATGTTAAAAAAAAAAATTTAATAGTTGAACAAATCTTAAGGTATTTATCTCTTTTCACCACATTCCATTCCCAGTACTTAGGATTGTTCTATTGCAATTAGTGAGTGTATTCATTAATAAAATAAAATAATTATAAGCAATTATATAATTTATGAATTTCCATAAATAATCACCTTTTAAAATAAAATTTTAATCATATATATGTCACACTTCATAATATTATAATTTTAGGCATGAATGCTCCCTAAATAATAACCATTTTGCATGCAATTCTACTATAACAAAGTGATGTATGTAAAAAGATAATTTATGTGAAACCCTAAATATAACTAAAATGTATTTTTAACAAAAAAATAATGGATAAAAAATTAAACAAATTGAAAATGATTAAAGAGATGAAATTTTACCTTCCAAATATTAAATAAATGGATCTAATTGGTTTACAAGTCACCTTTAACAGTGACAGGTGATAGAGAGGCCGAAAGATGTGTTTGGGAGAGAAAAATATGTCAAATGAGAGAGGGAGGTAGGCTTAGTACGAAATAACTTAGATTTACAGACTATATTTTTGTATCATGTGAGTTTTTAATGATACCAAAATATTATTATTGTGATTACTATTTCTCCTAACATACATTGGATATATATATTTTTTCTATTTTCCTTGAGTCTGAGAGAGTGTGATTGTAATTGGGTAATCGTGTACACACACATTGGGGGAATGAGTCAAAACTTTAATTTTTAAAACTAATCATATTGAATGATTTTTAAATTGTACTGGACGATTTGTCATGATAGTTTCTCTAGAACGAAGTTAAGCAAATCAGGCCTAGGAAAATTTTGTACTGTTCGTACTGTATGATAATATTTTCGTACATACGATTCACAGAGTATGAAATGGGTGCATACTAGTTCATTCCCAAACAAACTCACCATTTTTTGAACTGATCGTATTGTATGAAGTGGGGTTCATATAGACGACTCCTAGAGTACGAAATGGGTGCGTACCACTTTCTCCCAAATAATATATTCAGTTTTTGAACTGATCATATTATACAATTTTAGGTTCGTATAGATGGCTCATAGAGTACGAAATGGGGTCATTCATGTTTGTACAAAATAAAGCATGATTTGTTTAAGTTGTTTGTATATACGATTCACAGTGTATGAATTGGGTTCTTACATAATCATACCGAACGAATTTGTTCAATTTTAAACTATTCGTATTGTACGATGTCAGTTCATACATAAGACCAACATAGTATAAAATTAGGTTTGTACATGATCGTAAATGGATTTTTAAACTATTTGTACATATAAAGTATGATTGTACTGTAAATGGATCGTAAAGGACATTGGTACTCTACCATCACCAGAAATGTGAGAAATGATATTGGTACCTTGCCTTAACCAGAAGGGTGAGAAAGGATGTTGGTACTTTGCCATCACCAGGAAGGTGAGAAAGGACATCAGTAGTCTGCCGCACCAGGTTGATGGAACAGAGGTTATTACAAGGGCTTCTCTACCTTACTGTGAGAGAAAAAGAATAATCACTTTGATCTAGTTGGATTGAACCACTATAAAATTTGGTGTTCATCTATTCTTTACTTTTTATTGCATTTTTATTTTTATGTGGTTAAAAAATCTTTTGTGAGAATCTATCGTTGTGCAAAATATATTAAATCAATTTTCTAAATCTCCTAGAAAATTTTTAAATTATCAATTCACCCCCCTCTTGGTTAGCCTTGGGATAGTTTTGTTAGGTTTAACAACCTACTCGAACTTTTAAAAGTTGATAAAGAAAATGAGCATAGAAGACGTGGAGAGTTCAACTAATAATGAAGAATGAGAGAGTAAGCAATCAAGATATAAATATCAATAGAAAAAGTTGAGAGACAATTAAAGAAGGTTAAAAAAAGAAAAGGAGAATGAGTAAGGCTGTCAAAATCGGTTTAACGGTTAGGTTTGGATCAAACCTGAAACTAACCCGACACAAGTTGACCCTCCCCGAACCCGACCCATTTTTTCAAATGGGTCACTTTCTCCAACCAGAACCTGATCAACTTCAAAATAGACCCGACAGAACCTGCCAACAGTCTTTAGGAGGGAGAGGCGGCGACGTTGGCTTCAAGCGACTACAAAAGCATTCAAAAGCATGGAGAGGGAGAGGCGGCGGCGTCGGGAGCGGGAAGTCCCAATTGGATCAGTAAATGAAGGGCTTCACAGCGTTGGTGACGTCATTAGCTTTAGGTAGCGGTGAAGTCTTCAGGAGCGTCGAGAGGGAGAGGCGACAATATCAGGAGAAAGAGTTCCATTTTGGCTTAGTAAATGGAGGGCTTTGGGAGCATGGAGTGGGAGAGGCGTCGGCGTCGGCGTCGGCGAAGCCTTTAAGAACAGGGAGAGATAGAGGCGGCGGCGAGAGAGAGGAGCTTGTTTGGCCGTGTGGGACTTTTTTGTGCAAGAGTGACATGAGAGAGGAGCTAGCTAGGCCGACTCACAGTGCAAACCAGAGAAGAGCGGGTAAGTCTAGGTCGGCTTCTAGTTTGTGGGTTGACCAAGATTCAACCAGTTTTTTCAAACGGGTCGAATCCTGGAACCCGAACCCAACCCATTTGCGAAACAGGTTGACCATAACCTAAAATTTTTGGGTCGAATTTGAGTCGTACTTTCGGGTTGTGTCAAATATTGACACCCCTAAGAATGAGCAAGCACTACCTATGACTAATCATAAAAAGAGAAAAGAGTCTAATCTAAACAAGGATAGAGTGAGCTAGAGATATGGGGAGAAAGTTAGTAAGCCTAATAATAATAATAATAATAATAATAATAATAATAATAATAATAATAATAATAATAATAATAATAATAATAATAATAATAATAATAATAATAATAATAATAATAATAATAATAATAATAATAATAATAATAATAATAATAATAATAATAATAATAATAATAATAATAATAATAATAATAATAATAATAATAATAAATTTAGTATAACTTTTTATGAAAAATTGATGATCCTGAATCTTGTAGAGAAATTTTAATATGCATGATGAGATGAACATACATGTCAAGATATAGTGAGTTCTATTTATCTACCTTTATTCCGCCTTAATTATTTGCAATTTATTGTAATATGAAGATAATAAAATTTGGTTTTAAAGTTCATTTGAATCACATTTAATTTGAATTCCCATCATTTGAAATTTGAATAAATTTTGAAGGATTTATTATTTTAATAAGCATATTTCATGAATTTTCTTGGTTGAAATTTTTTGCTAAATTATAAAAAAAGTTAAAATTAGCTTATCATAAAATTAGCTCATTTGTTATTTTTCTCCAAAAACAAAAAGCAAACAAAAATGTAAGGCTATATTTTTTCGTTCTTCAATCTAGGTATGTCATTTGGGCTTCAAGACCTATTCAAAGGACGAGTTTGCCTTAGAAATCATGTTGACAGAATCAGAAACGAACCGCCAAGTGTGTGGGCTTTGGGACCTACAGCTGCTCTGGAATCGTCCGCGGTTCTCGCTCCATAGATTTTTCTGTAGAGCCTATATAACTCATTCTTCCCTCTCGCAAATGGGAGAAAGCTTCCAAAACCCCTAAAAAAAAAAAGGATCTTTAAGGTTCCAAAAGGCGAAACTCCTCACATCCTCATCTCCGACTTCACCTTCTCTTTTCGCTTTAATCGGTTCTTTCTCTCTATCTCACATCTTTCATCTCAGCTTGCCGTCGACTGGATCTGTAATTTATTCTGGTAAATGCTTATATGTTATTTTTTATTAGCAAATGGAAAATCCCTTGTTGTTGTTGTTGAACCTATTGGGTATATTATTATTAAATTCTTGGTTTATTCATCATTATATGAGTTGACCATTATGAAGGAAGGAGGCTGTGATTTGTTGCTATAGATCTAGGCTTGATTTTGGAATAATTTAACATTTGTCAATCCCATTTCACTAGATATTTGAATCTTACCTCCATTATAAAACTTTTGGGTTGTTACATATTCCAGCTTTTAGCTTTTCATGAGGTTTTTGGTAGAAACATAAGGATGTATTGAATAGTAAACCAAAGGAACGTCATGCTGTTTCACAAGATACTAAACAGTTTGCAGGAATGGGAAGGTATTTTAAACAAGTATTTGTATTGATTAACATGAATTTTTTACCTGGATAATCAATATCATGGTGTATTTTTAGTTGTATTTGCGGCATAGTAGTATGATAGAGTATATTAATTATTAGCCATGTTTTCTTTACATAGATTGGTCATAGGAAATAACAAGGTTGCTACAAAGTTCAGAGAACCATCCTATAGTTGAGCAGAATGTTTTCAACTAATTTTTCTTTCTAATAAGATTTGGATTCATCACATTTTACAATGTTTTGAAGAGGAAAGTCTCTGAAGAAAAAAAAAATGCATTTATTTGTCTTAAATAGTGCCTTTCAAGTTCCATATATGATTGATTTGTTACGATAATCTTAGGCCTGACATCAGTATTTTGACAGGGTTTTTGAAAATCATATGGAGTAACAATGTTGTTTTAGCTTCATCTTTCTTACTCAGGTTTATGAAGACATTAACACATTTTCCTTGGAGATGAAAGCCAAATATTGCTCACACTTCGTAATAGAAGTTACAATCTAAAGTTTATAATATGTATCAAGGAATATAGGGCTTGTACATTGTGGTTTCAAACCATTTTACAGTGAATTAAATTGCATTCTGTTTTCAGCATGATGGAGGTCTGTTACCCTTACTTTGATCCTGATTTTGAGAACCTCAATGAAAGGATATATGGACCAAGGTTAGTCTCTTCTTTCAATTGTAGGCTTTACTCATCTTTTTGAAATTGAGTAGTTGTTGATTTTTTGCACAAGCATTCAACATTGATTTGGTAATCCACTTCAACTGCAGGGTTTATGTGGACAACGACGACTGTGAAAATTGTACAGTTGTGAAGGTAGGCTTCTATCAACATCCCTTAGTTTAGCATTAATGATCTTCTTGTGCTGATAGTTTTTTACACCACAGGTGGATAGCCTTGAAAAACAAGGCCCCTTGCTTGAAGTTCTACAGGTTTTGATTGACATGGATCTACTCATTTCTAAGAGCTATATTTTTTCTGATGCTGGATGGTTTATGGATGGTAAGGTTTTACTGATGCTTTATAGATTGTATCATCTGGTTAATAGTTGATTAAAATTTAGGCTTTCTATGATTTTATTGTTAGTCTATTTAGAACTAATGCTTACAGCTGAGTTCGTTCAGAAATGCAAAATGGTAGAATCCCCCTTTTTTTTTGTTTTATGTATAACTGAACAGAGAAAGATATAGATGAATGTTTGTCCATCAAGAAAATGTGAAGAGTGTATTTTCAGTAAATATTTTGCGCATGCTCCAGAAACTTTGACTTCCTTATCTATGTGAACAACTCAAGGCCTATGGATCCTGCTGAAATTAGGAATTTGAGAGGAAAAAGCTTACTTTATCATACAATATATTCCCTATTTATAGATCTATACACAAGAGGTCTAATGAAGAAACAAATAACTACATAATAATTGCTGAAATAAAATCATTCATAAATCAGATGTCTAGTTATGGAAGGTACCCAATGTATTTCTAGAAGGCCTCCCACTGATCCATCTTTGTAGTCGTTGGATCTACGAGGGAACTGAGGGCTGAGATTTAGCAGATCCGAAGTTCAGAACTTCAAAAAATTAATCAGACTTTCTAATTATTATGATTTTAAATTCAGCTTTTTTCATTCCCCCTTTTTTATATTTTCAATGTAAAGCTTGTAAAATTTTTCATAATTATCTGTTTTAAATGAAGGTTAAGTTTTTGTTTGGATAATTTACATGGGGTTACATGTTAGCCAAACTACTAGCATTTTATGATTTGCTACAACAATAAATCTTTATCCCACTATGTGGGGTTGACCAAGTTATGATTTGCTGGAAAAGAAAAATCATAGGCTGCTTTAGTGTAGTTAGAAGTCAGATTTAAAATTTGCAGGACTCCATTGTGCTTGAATTTGGCATTGCTAGCTCAATCTATATTTAAGAGATATAACATTGTTTTTGCTAAACTTGCGTTATTTGATTTTGTTTGAACATTTTGTTGTAGTTATTCATGTGAAAGACAAACTTGGCAACAAAATCAGAGATAACAGAGTCATTAACTACATACAACAGGTCAGATACCTTCATTAATTAGAATTCTGAATGCACTTAAAAATAATATCAATTGATAGATAGCCTTTTACTTTCTCATTTTGCATGATATAAGCAACTGGACACTTCATTCTATGATTCTCCATTTGATTCTTGTTCTTCTCTGAAGTACTTAAAGTTAACAATGTATCCTTTCTTAAAGGCCATATATCGAAAGGGAGGGCTTAAGAATCCACAAGATCAGGTTATGAGCTCCTATGAAAATAGGTTAAAGTCTGAATCTTGTCATGAGCGCACAGCTATTGAGATAACCGGGATCAATCGGCCTGGTCTTTTCTCAGAGATATCAGCTGTGCTCGCGGAAGAAAAGTGCAATGTCATCGAAGCTCATGCATGGAGTCATAATGGCTTCCTTGCCTGTGTAGTATATGTCTCTGATCAATCAACTGCTTCCTGTATTGATGATCCAATTAGACTTGCCACAATTGAAGGCCATCTCTCAACTGTCCTAGCAAACAACATCCATGATAAGGATCACATTGGTGTTAAAGCATGTTTCATAGAGTCTGATCGCTCAATGTGTCAGACAGAGCGTCGGCTCCACCAGCTCATGTTAGCTAACCGAGATTTTGATGGATCGCAGAGTGGCCCGCATAGTTGTTCGAGCACTCTCGTCCCATCCATGAGAGGCGGAACGGAGAAAATGGTGACTATTGATCGGTGCGTTGAGAAAGGTTATTTGATTGCTTACATTGAGTGCACAGATCGACCAAAGCTTATGTTTGATACCGTGTGCACACTTACCGACATGCATTACGTAATCTTCCATGCTTCCATCACTTCCCATGATCAATTTGCCAGTCAGGTTTGTACTAAACTTTTTCTTTTTTACTTTCATTAGATTAAACTGTTGTTGACAGTGAGTCTGAGTAAAATAGTTAGCTTGTTCTTATTATAAGAGGTCTTTGTTTTCATGTAAGAAATAAGAGAAGGAAATACCTTGCATTGAACTATCTGTAAAGAGGTTGTATAACTTCTTTGCTTATGCTTTTGTACATTTAAAAAAATACACCATGGCATAAGCAGCTAAATGCTAGATTTGAAAATGAAACTTTTGTTGTATATGCTAAACTTCGAGATTCCCAAATCCTTTGTGAATGAACTATATGTGACCAGAACTTCTTATGAAGGAAATGAGATCAAAAGTAATAAGGGAAATATTCAATAATTCAATATGTGTTGGACTATGCAGGAATATTACATCAGACATGAAGATGGTAACATCAAGGACACAGATGAAGAGAGACAAGTAGTTTCAAAATGCTTGGAAGCTGCAGTTGAGCGTCGAGAATGTGAGGTGAGCACCTAATGAAACATTCAGGCTTCATTTTGGACGACTTTCTTACTGCATTTTAAAGTAGCTTTCTAGTACAAAAATTAAAAATTTTATACTAGAAAGTTATTTTAAGAAGGTAAGAAAGCCTACCCAAACGAAACCTCAGTTAGCTAACTTGATGTGCTTCTTCTCTTCACTTCCATTGATCCAATTTGCTGATAGGGACTGCGACTCGAGCTCTGTGCAAGAAATAGTGTGGGATTGCTTCCTTATGTCACAAGAACTCTTCGAGAGCATGGGCTTACTGTTGCTCGAGCAGACATTGAAACGCATGGGGAGAAAACAAACAATGTGTTTTATGTTCAGGATATCTCTGGGAATGAAGTTGACATGGAGATTGTTGATACTCTGAAAAGAGAATTGGAGTCATTGCCCTACCAAGTGAAAACTGAGCTCAAACCCCAAAAGCAGAACTCCATGCAGAGAGTTGGATTCTCATTTACGAACTTGCTTAGATCTCAATTGGAGAAATTTACTCACGGCTTTATATCCCCATGATAGAAATGCAGGGAATTTTTTCTAAATTACCCTTTTTTTTGTTTTTTATTTTACCCTCTGTACAGTTTAGAGTTTCGATCTGCTAGATTGTTGTTCATAATAGAATAAAAATAACCAACTTTCCTCTACTCAGTTATTCTGATTTAATTCAAATAGACATCATAAGCAAATTTTGTTTTTCTTATATTTTGTCCTGTGTAATCTTTAGGGGCTCTTTGGTAGCAGGATTTAGGCCGGATTTGTGTGAAATCTAGTCAAACGGCCAAAAATGCAAAGCCGGATCTCATGGTAAATGAAAGTTGCGGTAGACGGAAAATTACCTCTTTTCATGGTAAATCCTGGATTTCCGAAATCCTCTGATTCGGCGGATTTAACCCTCTATTGGTGCGAGAGGGAAGAAGAGTCCGTTCATTAATGTTGTATAGCTAAACAGTCACACAGGATTTAATCAGATTTATCATGAATGTTATCAAACAGTTTTTAGGATTCAACATAAATTTGGATTTAGAAGATTTATGAAATCATACTTAAATGAAATTATGTATCAAACAGCCCCTTAAGGTTGAGACATTTTCATTAAACTTTCAAAAAATCATGTGTATATTTGGATAAGAATTCAATTTCATTAATAGATCTCATGAAGTATAGATTTGTTTATTTTTAAAATTTTAACTAATTTACTAGTCAAAGCAGGAATTTTCTCCGTTACTCATAAAAGCCAGGTTTTGCACGTTTTATACTCGTAGAAAAAGTCGAAAAATTAGAATATGGTCTCAAATTAAATCTGAAAATTTAAATTGTGATTTCTTCTTAGGGCAGATCGATTTTTATTTAATTTTAGTATTATTGAGTTTATTATAATTGAAGGCAACTAATTTGAATTTATCTTGTAATTCTGTTTTTTTTAAAATAAAAGTTTTATGCCTTGTTATAGTGATATTGACTGATAAATTCAAATTGAAAGATTTGTTCTCCTTTCATTCTTATGAAAGGTAGGTGCCCTTGGTCATGGATAGTTGCTAGGGGACATTCTTGTAGGGCGAGTCATTTGGAGGAGCTCATCAAGGACAGTTGCACCGTCGGGTTTGATCTCTTAAAGCAAGTTTGTATATTTTGATCTCTACAAGAGTGAGAGGCCACTTGCCCGCATGATTGTGTTGGCGACTACTATTTAAGATAAAGCTTCCTTTGCATGAGTGCTACTTTGGCCGCATGCTCCACTTGGCCTTGTCCCATAATTGGACCTTGATGAGATACCTATAAGCTATCTACATGGGAATGTATGCGTATGTATTAAGTTTCCCAATTCACTTGTTCCTTTGAGGGAGTGTTATAGAAAACGATAAGTGAAATAAAGGTATGGAACATTTACTAAATTTACCAAATAAAAAAGGGCAAATAAATAAGAATTATTGGCCTATTATTACTGTTGCCTCGAGCGGTGCACCCTACTACATGATTCTCATTAAGACATGAATTTAACCATGATCTCATCTTATAAATAGTGGTGAGGAGTGGTATCTTTTATTGCCTCAAGTGATTGTTACTAGTTTTATTTAGATGGCCAGTCCAAGTCATTCTAAGAATTCTAATATGAGTAAGAAGAAGCTAAGGAAAGCTCTCCTCTGCAAACATAATTCTGCTAAAGGTGAGAAAATAAAGTCTAGCCCATTTGTGGATAAGAAGAAAGTGGTGACTGTTGAGGTGAGTAGGCCCATTAGCATGGAGTCGAGCAAGATGATAGTGGACGTGTTAAAAAGAGCATAAAAGGTTGAGCTAAGCAAGATGGTGGGAAATGGAAACATCCACATGAGGGTCATCCACTCTTCAATCTCTAATGATGTGCTGCTTACTGAATGGTGAACCCTACAAGTGTTTGCATTACAGAGAGCAAGTCAATCACTTGTGGCGGTGATTGCTGACCTGAGGTGAATGCTCCTTTACCCGTTTTGGCACCAACATAATCCTTAATGGAGGCCACAGGAAGTTACAACCCCATGTTAGAAGAGGATATATAATTATGCGCTACTGGTAGAGGTAAGAAAAGTTCCTTTTTGATTTTTTAAAAGAGTTATGACTTGAGGCTGAATGTCACTAGCTTTAATAATGCCACGAGTGCACTTAACCTCCGATGAGATCTTAGATGACTAGTCGAACTAGTTCAAGGCATTTGTACTGACTTAATGAGCACTTGGCTTATATATGAGTACAATAAACCTTTATGATATACTATCTAATATTCCATTTAGTCTTTAGATAAATTGTTACTTCTTCTTAATACCTCCCTTTATATTATACTAGAGACCCCATTGGCAATGGACACGGTTGGTCAGTGTTTGCCAACCTACGTAAAAATCGCATTCAATGATTAAGACTTTCAAGGTATCAAAGGGAAAGAGTGTAAATATATATATATATATATATATATATGTAGTTCCTAGTAACTTTCCAGCACCCAGCCTTTGATAATACCATAAAATCATGAGCCCTCTCATCTTGCTGATGGTTAAATATTCAAGGTCCTTGGTTTAGGTTTATGTTCTTTGAATGCTCTTAACGAGTGAGTTTGTGCCTTAGAAGATGAGCTTGCTTGCACTTTGGTTATGTCTGAGAGAATAATCTAAGCCTTTGAGAGGGTAAGCTCAGCAAGTGAGAAGACCTCCATGGTGCTAAAGAGATGCCAGTGACTACAACAAAGGTAATGGTGACTCATTGGCTTCTAGAGTCCTTGTTCTTAAGTTAATTCCTAACTAGAAGGCGCTTTTAGTGGTGCATCCCAAATTGTTATTCGATCCATAATATAGACTATTTTGTGGGGGATAAGTAAGCTCACTCCATTATGTAAATATCAAATGTAATATATGTTAAAATTCTAAGTAGTGATTTTTTTTTTTTGGGGGTATTTGTGTATATGTTTGCAAATTGTGTTCTTTCTTTACTTTATTTTATGTTTACTTTCTTGCCATGTCTATTTAATTTTTGTGTACAATGAGTGTTTCATCTTCTAGTTGTACTCTTTTATCGAGGACAAGTTTATTTTATTTTATTTTTGTTCAACAGTGACTCTTAAATAATTGATTTTTAAAGTCTTCATTGACTGAGTAAAATTTTACTCTATATAGAGTGAGTTGAGGATGAATCTTTGTAGAGTGATTCAAGGGAGCAAGTTAGGAGTGGCTTCTCAATTTGTCAATTATGTGTGACCTCTTATTCTTCACACTAGGATGACCTTGCATATATAAAGTGTAAAGAAAGATAATGAATTTTCATAATATTGAAGATATGGGGAAGATTTGTTGCATTAATGATGTGTATGACTCGATCCTCAGAATCTAAATCACCAACTTTTTTATAAATGCTCCTTCTCTTCATTTCTTCCTTAATGCTCTCTTTTTGCAATTCTCTTTTTGTTATTGGTTGGTGTGAACTTTGGTTCTATCTGAAGCTAGCCTAGATTTTGAATTTTTATGGGTCAATGTTAATCATGGAAAACTCCATGGCAAGCATCATAACTTTCATCTTGCACTTGTTGTGAGAGACGATCAAGTGGAGCGTGATTTTGATTTTCCAATTCTTCATATTAAAGGCCTTCAAGGATGAAGTCATCCAAATCTCCTCACTCTATATGAGGATGTGCAACTTGGTGAAATAAGTCAAGGACAAAGACTAAGTTAGTCTTTGCCAAGTCTCTTATAGGCTGGGCCGTGCTAAATCACCATATCCCCTAAACAAAAGATAAGGAGGTGGCCCCCAAGTTAAATGAGAAAAAGAATTTCACCTCTGATCACTTCTAGGGGACGTTGCTACTAGTTTAAGATCATATAAATACCAGTGGCATCTACAACACCTTTTATAATAGGCAAGTCACCCTACCTATGGTATCATTAAAAATTTTAAGAAGTTTTCTTTTTTGATGTAGTGCTGATAAGTGTAAATAAGGTGTATTTTTATGTGTTATATTTTCAATGAAAATATATTATTTTGGTTATAATGTGCTGAAAAAATATAAAAAAGGCACAAAATTCTATGTATCATCTAGCACCGCAATGTCGGACAAATCAATGCAACCATACCTTCAAGGACACCACCTAAGCGCCACAAAAAGGACATTGCAACGTCGACTTCTCTATCGAGCATATCTGCAGCATCAAAATATCAACTTTGTAGTGCCATGTTCTCTATCAACCATCATCGCAGCATCACAATCTATAATGGCTCAACGCCAAAATTATTCTTCCAACTCTACAGAGTTCGAAAGTCTACAGCATCGCGTCATAGCAGTTGTAACTTTGTAAGGGCACGACGTGTTAGTGAAACAACATGACTATTCACTAAGTAACTAATCTCTATCAATAAGCACCATGGTGGAGCCAGAATAGTAGCGTAGTATAATTAGTTATTTTATTATAATTTTTTGTATCAAAGAAAACCTAAGCATTTTTAGGGATTGAGATAATCATAAATCATTTCAAAATTTAATTGGTTACTCCACAATTCCCATCAAGTACTAACTTTGGGGGGGATTTATTTTTATGTGGGATTCCAAGCTACTCCTACCCTTATGATCCTTCTTTATTAAATTTCCTTAATACTTAACCCTATATAGAGGAGGGTGTTCATAACCCAACCCGATATGACCCATAGATAGATAGCTCATACCATATTGAATTGGGATAAGCTAGCCCAAGATTTAAATTTTGGGGATGCTCAAATATCTTATATAAATTTATATACTACATAGCTTCTAATTAACTTAAGTAAATAGAATGAAATCAACTCATCCAAAAATTTCCTTTTATTTCATCAAAGTATATATACCACATTTATAATACAATACATAGCTATGCAGACTCATAATAGAGAAATAAAATAAATAGCCATGACATATAAAAATTAAGAAAAATGCCTATAAATAAATCCCATGGGAAACCGAATCTCACCTGATGTAACAGATAGAGGAAATCTCGTGACTTTAATTAGGTTATAGATATCATTACCCATCAAGGTGCGTAGGTGAAATCCATTATCCTTAATAGTTAATCATATGTATGATCTCATCTACCCTCCTATTAACCTTCTTGCGAATAGAGTAAAGGCCTATGGCCATTTTATTCTACGGGATAGTTCG